CTTTGCAGAAATGGGTTTCCCTAACTGTGGAAGGGCAATTTTGGCACCAGACCACCTTGCGACGGAGTACATCAATAGAAAGGGGTACTTCTCCATGGCGTTGTAGGTGCCTGTGGATCACCGTGGGCATTTCACGGACATCAACACAAGGTGGTCTGAGAACATGCATGATGCACACATCTTCAGGAACACCGGCCTGTACAGAAAGCTACAAGCAGGGACTTTCTTTCCAAACCAGACGATTACAATGGGGGATGTTGAAATGCCCATAGTGATCCTGGGAGACCTGGCGTACCCCTTACAGCCATGGCTCATGAAACCTTACACAGGACACCTGGACAGCAGTAAGGAGTGGTTCAACAACAGGCTGAGTAGGTGCTGGATGACAGTTGAACGTGCCTTTGGAAGATTAAAGGCGTGCTGGCGATGCCTTTATGGCAGGTTAGACCTTAATGAGGATAATATTCCCGTGGCCATAGCCGTGTGCTGTACGTTGCATCATCTTTGTGAAGCTATGGGTGAAAGGTTTGCTCAGGGGTGGAGTGTTGAGGCAGACTGCTTGACTACTGATTTTGAGCAGCCAGATACCAGGGCTATCAGAGGAGCCCAGAGCAGACAATTTGAATCAGGCAGGCTTTGAGGCAACACTTTGAAAATGAGAACCATTAACGTATATCTCCGTGTTTGGTACTTTAGTGTTACATTACATGTAGTTTTCCTAGGAAGCAGTAGTGATATTTGGGGCCTTATATTCCAGTAAGCAAATGATTAAAATACCTGTGCATGTATTGGTAGTGCCTGCAATCTCAATTTGTAGGAAACAAATAAAGATGAGTTACCCTTCAAAAACTTTGCTTTTATTGCACAAGAAACAGCAAACACAAACACACAAAGATGCTTGGTGGGAAAGGAGGAACCAGGGAAGGGCAGACTTTAACAGCTGTGTATAGGTTCAGCTATCATTGTGAAAGTTGTCCGAGAGGGTGGAGTGAAGGGGAAACTGAGAAGTCCCGGAAAGTGGAAAGGAACGTGCGGGTGGAGTTTGGGGGGGGGAGGGCATGGGAAAAGAGTTCTGAATGTGCTGCAGGAGAGGGCAGGCATAGATCTGCTCAGTCTACAGCATTATTAAGGACTTCAGCATCCACATTTGCTCCTCCATTACTTTAATCATCTGCTCAATTGCATCCTTAAACTCCTGATTCTTTTTTCTGTCCTGCCGTTCGGCTTCCCAGAACTCCTTGCGTTCCCTTTTCTCTACACTGGAGCAGTGCATTACCTCCTGGAACATGTCTTCTTTGCTGCATCTTGGGCACTTTTTTTATCTGGTGGAGAAGCTCGGCCGGGATGTGTGGGGTGTTCCTGAAGGCCACATCTGCCGAAGCACAAGGGACAATGCACAGAAGCGGGATTGTTAAATTCACACACAGCACTGAAACATTTCACTTAAATGCACCTTTTGAAACATTGCCATCACTTTCTCACTGACCCTTGGCAGGCACACATCTCTTCAAACACCCAAAGCATGGTGAGTGGTGGCGGGTGAGCGGAGGGGGGGGTGGGGTGCTTCACATGGGGAAAAGAGCACACACTCTAGAAGGGTCGTGGTGCAGCATGCTAGGGGAAAAATTCTCCCACACTTTTCCACAGGTGAGGGTCATTCTAGCAGATCTCACTGCTAAGGGTAAGCAGGGAAACAAGGGCACATCTACTCCATGCTTGTGGCTTCTGCCCTGCTCCCTATGCTACTCACCTATGTGATGCTTTGGTCCCTGCACAATTGGTTGCCAAATGGCGCAGGAAAGTTTCCTACAATGTGGGAAGGAATAAAGTTGCTCTGCCACGGAACCTTCGGCAGAGGATTAAAGAGTACCTCGAGGAAACTTTCCTGGAGATCTCTCTGGAGAATTCTGGTGAGATCTTGGCATGCATCAACACCCTGTTCCGCCGTACGATTAGCTACACAGGGAAATGTCTGTCTCTCAGAAACAGCCAGCCTTCCACATTTCTATACCCCAAACCCACCTCTGCACTACACAAACCACAATCATTTACCAGGCATCTCCTCTCCTGCTTCTTGCTTGCTGGAGAGCAACTGCTGAGACTGGTAAGACACCTCTAGAGTGGAGAAAAGTTCCTGGCTGCCTGCCCCACTCGGCGACCCCACCAGGAGCTGCACATCGTCGTCTAACTCCACCTCTTCATCAATAAATTCATCCTCCATGTTAGGTCCTCTTTCCGTCACCTCCAGGCCCGCCGAAGTATCCATGGGGCTCTTGATGGTGGAGGTGGGGTCGTCACCAAGGATGGCGTCCAGCTCCTTATAGAACCAGCAGGTCTTAGGTGAAGCACCGGAGTGACAGTTTGCCTCCGTCGCCTTATGGCACGCCTGCCTCAGCTCCTTTATCTTCGCTCTGCACTGCAGTGTGCTCCGATTTTAACCCTTTTCGCACAAGCCTCGAGACATATGGCCGTAGGTATCCCAATTCCTACGGCTCAAGAGCAGCTGTGACTGCACAGCCTCCTCTCCCCATATACTGATCAAATCCAACAGCTCCGCACTTGTCCAAGTGGGAGAGCATTTAGTGCAATAACCCACCATGGTCACCTGGGAAAATGCGATGAGACCTCTCCATGCCAAGCCAGCAGGAAATTGAATTTCAAAAATTCCTGGGGCTTCTAAGGGGGAGGGGCAGATGGCTGTTTACCTGGCTGCAGGGCAGTGGAGTTCAGACTGCTGACCATAGCGATCACGATGGGCATTGTGGGACATCTCCTGGAAGCCAATTAAAGCAACGAAATCAAGCGTGATGTCTACATTGGCACTTTGTCGAGAAAAATTTAGAGGGAAAAGACGCACGTCTCTCGTTGGGGTGGTTGTATTTTGTCGCCAAAACCAGGCATTTTTCCTGATAAAAGTCACATTGCAGTGTGTACGCATTCACTATTTGGTCGACAAAAGACAGTTTCTGTCAACAAAACTTGGTAGTATAGACAAGGCCTTAGAAAGGGGCCCAGAGAAGGAAGCTGAGAAGGAATCTGGGGCAGTACAGGAATGTCTCTTCACTGATTACAGGGGAGGGTTTGCCCAGGACAGATTTGCTGGGTCGGCGTCTGGGCTCCCAGGCACCCAACCTGGGGCTCAGGTTTTAAGAGGGAACTGTGTAACTGACCTCTAGGAGGGGAGCAGTCATACAACTGACCTCTTGGGGACAGAGAAGGGGTGACAGAGGCTATCCCAATCCAGGCCCCACTTTTGCAAAATGCTGCTCCCGATGTACTTGTGGAAATTAACTCTGTCTCTTTAAGACAGGATGGGAATCCTACTAAAGACTTATAAGGCAATTCAGATTGCTCAGTATGAGTGACCTGGTGTCATTACCTACTGCCCCCCATCTTTAAAATCTTCAGACTATCAGCAATGATTTAATATCTTCCAAGTCACTGACATAAAACATTAAATTGCATTATGTCAGGAACCAATCCCTGTGGGATGCTGTTGAAACACATGCATTTGATGATGATTCCTTATTAAACAATTATGTTTTGAGATCTCATTTAGACAGTTTTTAATCCATTTAATATGTGGTTTATTGAACTTGTATGATACTAATTTCCTCTTCAAAGAATCATGCTGTATTTAAGTCAAATGACTTACAGAAATCACATCATATTAGGTCACAGTTACCTTTGCTGACCAGACTTGTAATCTCATAAAACAGTATCAAGTTCATTTGACAGGAATTATTTTCCACATAACCATGTTGGCTGGCATTAACTATACTACTATCCTTCAGGTTCTATAGGGAGAAAGTCAAGCATGCATCATTTCATAACTTCGTCCAGGATCAGTGTCAGGCTAGCAGGCCTGTAATTACCATCTTCTTTACACTTTTTGCCTATTAATATAACACTAGCTTTCTTCCAGTCATCTGGAACTTCCCCCGTATTCCAAGATTTATTCAATCAAATATAATTTGTGCTATTATTTTCCACTATCCATATATTCTGTATCTCTGTATTTGTTACTGGACCTTTGAAATAAATATTTTAACCATTTTTATATATATGCGCCGTTTTCTACTGCTGTTTATCAAATTGTTCCACTGCATAGAATGTCTTTTTCTCTTGTTAAAAAGATACCTTAGGACATTCTATACAAAAAACTATGTTAAAAGAATGTTAACATTATAATACATGCAGAATATCGAGGATAAAAATAAACATTAAACAAGTGCCTTTTTTCTTTTCTGTCATTCAGTCTGTACACTGAGTGAAACAAGGGGCCCGTGAAAATAAGAATAGTCTACCACATAATTAAAAATTGCATAGCAATGCATTCACACAAAGGGACACAGGTACCATTCACTTTGGCATCTTCTAACTTTTGAGTGCTTCACTTTGCAAACTTAACATAGGCCTGGTCTACACTAACCCCCCCACTTCGGACTAAGGTACGCAAATTCAGCTACGTTAAAAACGTAGCTGAATTCGAAGTACCTTAGTCCGAACTTACCGCGGTCCAGACGCGGCAGGAAGGCTCCCCCGTCGATGCTGCGTACTCCGCTCGCCGAGCTGGAGTACCAGCGTCGACGGCGAGCACTTCCGGGATCGATCCGGGATCGATTTATCGCGTCTTAACCAGACGCGATAAATCGAACTCAGAAAACCGATTGCTTACATCCGGACCCGGATGTAAGTGAAGACGTACCCATAGTGTTTTGTACCTGAAAGGGGCTGTTACCCCTGCTCTGCTCCTGAGGCTCTGTTTAGGCAACAAATTATTAGACAACCAAATGCACATCCTATCCTATCCTATCTCCTAGAACTGGAAGGGACCTTGAAAGGTCATCGAGTCCAGCCCCCTGCCTTCACTAGCAGGACCAAGTTCTGATTTTGCCCCAGATCCCTAAGTGGCCCCCTCAAGGATTGAACTCATAACCCTGGGTTTAACAGGCCAATGCTCAAACCACTGAGCTATCCCTCCCCCCAAAGCTACTCACATAAATCTCATTATCCACATCCAGCTGTATTTCATCTGTGTCAACCAGGTCACTGAGCTCATCAAAGAGGGCAGACTCTAAAGGCAAAGCAAACAAAGTGGTACATCAGCATATCCTAAAAGTTAAAGATGGGAGTTTCAAAGGAGCTGAACCGGTAAATTCAATGGGATTCAATGTTAGACTGGAATTTTCAGCCTAAAAATTTAGGGTAAGGCAGTATTTGTACTACAGTACTGTACCAGCCACAGGAGAGTGGCAGATCAGATGTTCATATTGTAAACCTCACCCATGCAGACTCTGTGGATATTAAGGCCCCAATTCAGCAAACACGTCAATGAGTAAGCTTACACGCCCAGGCAGTTCCATCAGTGTCACACGCAAAGTGTTTGCAGGACTGGGACAGGGGTTCATAGGATCTCACAACGAGTCCACATGTCTAAAACACCCCACAGGCACCCTTAACTCTGCCAGCGCCACTCCACCCGGATCCCAATTCCAGGCAGCACGACTAGCCACGCGGCCCTGTCAGCGCCCAGCTAGCCCAGGCTCTGAGACTTGCCCGAGAGGCCCAGCGGCCGCGCGGGGAACGAGAGCCAGCAAGGCCTCTCGCCAGGAGTCCGCGCTGCCTGCCCCACGCCCCGGGGCGGGAGCAGCCAGACCCGGCAGCGGGGACACAGCTGGGCTTGCGCCCCTCCCCGCCAATGCCCCTCACAGCTCCCGCCCCACCCGCTCAGAAGGACGCTCCGCGCCTGGCTCACCCCAGTCGGGTCCGACCCCGGGTGCCAGCAGCCCCGGCTCTGCGGTGCCCTGTTCAACCTCCCCCGCCGCCATCTCCCTTCAGTCCTAAACACACGTCTCCTAGCTCAGCGCAATGCACCGCCCTGCTACGATGGCCGGGAGAGGACACGGGGCCCGGCGGGGCGGGGCCAGCGCCCTGTCTCTGAGCCAGCTGGGACAGTGTCAGCCGCAGGAGCGCTCTGAGCCCGGCTCGCCTCAGGTAGCTGGGGACAAACACTCCGAGGGCGGGCAACGCTGCATGTGCCCAATGGGGCGGGGGTTCTCGCGGGGTCCGGCTTCAGCTGCCCAATGGGGTGGGGTCTGGGATCCGGGTTCAGGTGACCCATGGGGCAGGGGCTCAGGTGGAGTTCGGGTTCAGCAGTAGCGCCATTTCGGGGGGGCAGCCGTGATTCCAAAGGCTACTTGGGCACCTGAAAACTCTTATCTTTTTTGCAGATAACTTAGATACAGTGCTCCTGTCAGATAATAATTTCTAATTCCTATATAAAGAAAAAATTAAATAAATATTAGACCCACTCAGCTCTAATGCTAACTGTCAAGCTATTAAAAAAATTGTGCTGTTAAACAATAATAGAATACCATTTATATAAATATTTTTGGATGGAGCTATCAGGGGGAAAATGGGGTTGGTATGAATTGTATTAAAAGGTTCCAAACTCTGTGTCGTAATCCACAGACTTCCATACCACAGGCTCTTCAGTCTCAGACCTGGTCTACACTAACCCCCCAATTCGAACTAAGGTACGCAACTTCAGCTACGTGAATAACGTAGCTGAAGTCGACATACCTTACTTGGAACTTACCGCGGTTCAGACGCGGTCCACACGCGGCAGGCAGGCTCCCCATCGACTCCGCGGTACTCCTCTCGCCGAGCTGGAGTACCGCAGTCGACGGCGAGCACTTCCGGGATCGATTTATCGCGTCCAGACCAGACGCGATAAATCGAACCCGGAACTTCGATTGCCAGCCGTCGAACTACCGCGTAAGTATAGACAAGGCCTCACCTACTGAACTAGAGGCTAAAGGCAAGGCTCCCTTTTCCCCATTATTATGATTTAATCTAGGACTCACTAAGCCTTGTGACAGTTGCATTTGCTTTCTGTAACCAGGGGTAGCACAGCTGTCCGAGCTGCTCCCTGGAGAGGAAGCACACCATAGGCACCAACTTTCCCCAGTGCCGGTGGGTGCGCATGCCCCCCCCCCCCCCCCGCCACGACTCCACCATTTCCCCGCCCCTGCCCCACCCCCATTCCAACCCCTTCCCCAAATCCCTGCCCCGGCCCTGCCTCTTCCCCTAGCGCGCTGCGTTCCCCACCTCCCCCCTCCCTCCCAGCGCTTGCCGCGCGAAACAGCTATTTTGCGGCACAAGCACTGGGAGCTAGGGGGCAAAAGCGGGCACGTGGCGCGCTCAGGGGAGGAGACGGAGGTGAGCTGGGGCAGGGGGGCAGGACAGGGAGCTACCAATTTTTCCACAGAGTCAGCTGCAGGCTGGTGTTCAAGACCAGCGATGTTCCACACAAAGAGTATGTCTATACTGCAATCAGAGGAGAGATTGCAACATGTGTATACAGACATACCTGAGCTGGCTTTGATTGAGCTCAATGGGAATGTTTACACAGCAACTAGATATCTGCGCCTGGCCCGTGTCAGTCAACTTGGGCTCCTGGAGCTCAGGCTGCAGGGTTATTTGATTGCTGTGTAGACTTCCAGGCTTGGGCTGGAGCCCGATCTACACGTCACACTTCTGATTGCAGTGCAGACAGACCTTAAGACCAGGGCCGGTGCTACCATTAAGGCAAACTAGGCGGTTGCCTAGGGCGCCAAGATTTGGGGGCGCCAAAAAGCAGTGCCCCCAATTTTTTTTACAGCGTTCCTACGCCCCCTCCCTGAGCACGCGGTCGCCGCTCCACTTCTCTCGCCTCCCAGGCTTGCAGCGCCAATCAGCTGTTTGGCGCCACAAGCCTGGGAGGGGAGGAGAATTAGAGCAGAGCGGCATGCTCAGGGAGGAGGCGGAGCAGAGGTGAGCTGGGGTGGGGAGCTGCTGCACGGCTCCCCGGGCCGGGGGGGGGGGGGG